CACTCACTAATAAGACATAATGCCGTCCTATTTTTGGCAACAATTAAAGGGCCTCCCGGTGCAAGCAGAAAGCTGTTTATTTTCTGTTACATCACTTCACTTTGCCTTCGAAGGCGGCTGGTCTGTGCTCAGTGTTTTCCTGGTGATGCAAGTCAGCTCTCTGCTCCAGCACTTGGATCCCTCCCATCTCGCAGCACCTCACAGGTCTCTTTCCCGAGCAGTGCATTGCTGGATCGAGGAGCAGCTCACGAATCAGCTGCAGGTCCCTGTTTTGAAAAGCAGAGATACAGAGGCAAAGGAAAAGGGTGGACTGCTATGTGACCTGATCGCAGAGCAAGACAATCACCAGCTGAATTCCAGAAGCCCTGTTCATGTTTGGGGAGATTTTTTCGACTGCATGGAATCAGAGAGAAGCCAAAGGATGGGAAATGCCTGCATCCCCCTGAAAAGAATTGCTTATTTCCTATGTCTCTTATCTGCGCTTGTGCTGACTGAGGGGAAGAAACCAGCGAAGCCAAAATGCCCTGCCGTGTGTACTTGTACCAAAGATAATGCTTTATGTGAGAATGCCAGATCCATTCCACGCACCGTGCCTCCTGATGTTATCTCATTGTAAGGCCCGTAAGCATTTGCTATCTAATTTACGATTTAAAAATTCCAGCCGGTGTATTTGGGGCTTTGTATGTATTGGTAGAAGGGCATGGAGAGAGAGATTCCTCTCGCACACTTGGCCATTTGACAGTGCTAACATTTTGCTGCATTTAGAGATTCTGATTTTTATTAGCTGCTACGAAACATGCTTAGGTACCCCCACCCCTGAACATTATTATGAGAAACCTGTAGCAGATTCATTTCTCCTACTTCATCTGGGAAGGAACAGGATCGTACTTCATAAAATAGTGTCAAAATAGTGACTGTTTTGCTAAACCGGATTAACATAAGGTTTGTTCTGTGTGTGTGTGTGTCTCTTTGTATGTGTCTGTCTGTTTGTTTTCTTTCAGATCCTTTGTGAGATCTGGTTTTACTGAAATCTCAGAAGGGAGTTTTTTATTCACACCATCGCTGCAGCTCTTGTGAGAAATATTTATATCATGACTATTTTTAATATAGCATATATTTGGATAAGCCCTCTAGTAAAACAATCTTAATATTTATTTTTTGAATGTGATTATATTTCTGGAGAGAAAAAGAGTATCAGTAAAGTGAAAGGTACATGGGTTTGTTTGCAACTCGACACCAAGGGTGCAGGTTGATTCTTGCAATGGGAAATTCGCTAACCTGTAATGCTGTCTACTTTTGTGGCTATTTATGAAGTTGTGGGAATGTTGCCACAATGATTCCAATTCCATTCCACTATTTTACTTTCATTTTTGACTTGGGAACTTTGGTTATTTTACCCTGGAGTTTTTGAATTAGTCAATACAGAACCCAGTATAACATATGTGCTCAAGATGTTGTCTCCCGGGGATCCAGGGCAGGCTGCTACTCTGTATGATTTACCATGTGTGTGTGGGGGGAAATCGTGGTTCTTTCTAGGTAATTCCTTAAAAGATTAATTCTGGAGAGATTGTTTTCTAATCTGATCTAATTTATAACTAGTTCCCTTACAAGAGGGGAAAGAAAATATTAATATAGGATAGTGCAAAGGATTAGTCTCTGCTGTGTGTTTTGAGTTAGCCACGAGGGAACTACATATTCAGTCTATGTCTCAAAATACTCAAAAAATAATATTTGACTCAGGTCTCCCCACAGGCATAATGTCACATGTGTAATTTTTTCTGACGTGCAATGTTTGGCTGTTGGAGTGTTAGTTCTCAGAGCAGGACCATGGGGAGGTCAAGAGGTCCCACCGTGCTCAGGTGTCAGGCAACAGATTGGGGTTGTAGTTAACATGCTTCCAGGAGGGAACTGTCGATCTACTGAGTTTTGGTTACCTTAACTGCATGATTCAGGACCCAAATTTTGTTTGTTTTTTTCATTTATTTTGTGTTTGTTTTCTTGCCTTAATTGGCCATTTTGGCTGTGTGAGGTTATATATATATACAGAGGCAAACAGCATGGATTTGAAACTGGAGGGACCCTTGTGTAAATTTCACCCCACTACTTACTAGAAACTAGACTTGTAATCTTGTGCAAATGACTAAATCTCGCTGAGCCTCAGTCTCCTCATCTGTAAAATGGAGGTGATAACACATTGAAAGGTTGTTATCAGAGATAAATGAGATTTTAGTAGATAAAATGTTTGGCATAGGGTTAAAGGGTTACATATTTTATAAATGGTAAGGTTTAAAATTTTTACATAAAGCTAAAAAGCTATAAAATCACTTAATCTATTGTTTTGTCTATATGAAATCTCAAAACTGGTTTCACTGTTTTATTAATTCACAAACATGACCAGGTGTTTTGACGTTATGTAACAGTGTTGGCTAATGTCCTTCTACTGGCTAATGTCTTTGAGGGATTAACAATTAAGTAGAATATTCCTAAGGGATTTATGTATTTGCTTGATGGCTAGTGATATGATTAGGGAAAGCGTTAGCACACTAAACCAAATCTAAAAAAGATAGCCTTTAGCACATAAAGTGTCAAAGTCTCCAATGCTTCCATACAATAAGAATTGGTTGTATCTGAGAAAGTGATAAATTGTGCTGTCGTTCATTTGTTAAATAAATGGCTTATTTTAAAAGCATCCTTTTGATGAACTAAGGCACCCCTAGTCCCCCTCCCCCAGGACAGTTAAATAGATCAGTCCTTAAAATTCAAGAGGCGTCGGTCGACACATACTACTTATAGTCCAACACTAGGTGGACTTTAGCTGTGACGCCGAAAGCCTGAATTGATCCACCTAATCAGTGAGCACATCTCCACTTTGCTTTCGCTGAGTGGAACCACCTTGGCAAGCACAGATGCTGGACATTGTTATAGAAATAGTTCCCGGCTGCTGCAGGGTAATGTGATTACACGTATTTAGAATCACAGAGGGAAGCCAAGGAATTGGTTTTAAATAGCCCACACAGAGTGTGTGCTATGCCCCTGTGTCCCATGCTCCGAGTTCCTATGGAACATTCCAGCCCTTATTTCTAAAAGCAGTTCAGGTTTCAGAAATAACAAAAGGGAGAGTAATTCTTGCCCTGTATGTCCTTACTTCGCTCACGTTGGCTAACTTCCACATGGCAGATTCGTGCCGGGGCTGATCTTATGCAGAATTGTAAGGGGTCGAAGTTTGTCTCCAATCTCCAGGACCCTGTTCCCTAAAGATTTTGCTCCCATTCTTCCTGCCTGATGTTCCGTGCTTCCTCCTATCCTCAGGAAAGGTCCTAATAAGCTCATTTTCACTGAGGAAATAAATGCTAAGGCTCCAAGTATGAACAGTGCTCTAATCATAACAGTGGTAAAAATGGGTAGTTCACAGACAAAGAGAGTTCTTCTGTGGCACAGGGCCATCCAGTGCTCTGAAACCCCCACGTGGGCCACCAACCCCCCATTAGAACAAGAGAACCAAGGGGCTTTAATTTGCCTTTGCGTGACTTTTGCCATCAGATCAGGCCTGGATCACACCAGCCATTGCTTGGGGTTTGCAATGAGTTCTAACGACATTTATGACCACTGATTACCAACCTGACCTGTCATATCCTGCGAAGCGACAAACTTCAGAATCAATTCTGCTCGATTGACATACAAGGGCAGTTGGTTCCCTGCCTGTGGTTGAACAGGGAAATGTCCCATTCCCATCACCCACCCTAACAACCTGATCATTTCATTATGGCCCTAAATGCTTTTTCAGACCTTCTGTGGAGACATGATGAGAAGTACTTTTCGAAATGTCAGCCTGGAGGACCGAGAGAAACAGACACGGCTCTTCCTTAAATTACACACAGTGTCTGGGGAAAAGATCCTGGTAGGCCGTGGCTGGCAGTGTGTGCTGGGAACAAGAAGAGAGCCCACACTCCACAGAGAGAGGGGGGAAGGAACAAAATTATCCAATAAAAATGTATCAGATTAGTTGTATAAAAATACATTTTTAAAAATATCTAATTGACTGTTTAAACAACAGCAACAAAACCTTTCCCAAGAAAATGCAATTTCATTGATGTTTTCCACAAGCCGGTTGTGAAACATAACCAATGAGAGCAATTATTCATTCTCGTTTGCTGTTCGTGATAGGGAGGGATGCTTGTAGTGAATGCAATTTACAGAAATGAATGTGTTTTCACACATTACAGCCCTGTTCTTCTCAACTACAGATTGAAATCCCCAATGATTCTGGCTCATTACAGAAGTAAAATTCAAATTGAAGAGTATAAAACGTGGCCACATTGCCATTTGTTTATAAAATTTTTAGTAACCTAAATGCCTCCAACTCTTAAGAGAGTTCTATTTGCAGGAAGTAAATTACAGGGCTGGTGTTGGTATGATGCTCAAAAAAAAATCTATATATAAAAATTCAGTGTGACCAGAAAAAAATTCTGTTTATTCCAATGAGATTTTATCATGTTTGAAGCAGTAGAACTGATCCTTTTTGGGGGCAGGGGGTGGGGGCCGGGATTATTTCTTTTATTAATCCACAATCAGCATAAGTACATATAGTCCATAAGATATCAAAAACTAAAAATGAAATGCAAATAACATTAACAAGATAAAAAATTCCATCCTTACTAAAGCTTTATACTTTAGTCCTTCAAAATATTATTTGTCCAGTGATTGGCCTCTTTTTCTATTCCTCCTTATAGTACAAGTGTAAGAAAACTTTAGCAATCTTCCATGAGTACTCAAGCCAGACCTACCGGCTAAGAGAGCTTCTAGAGGAGTTATTAGCTGGTTATGAATGAACATGTTTTAGTTTGTGCACAGCTGATGTCCCCACAATGGACCAAGTAGTAAACATTTTAGTCATCTAGGCTGTTTTTTCTACAATTTGCCCAGTGACCCATTGCTCTGATTTTTAACTTTTTAAAAAATGTTGTTATTGATTTTTTTAGAGAAAGAAGAAGAGGAGGAGAGAGAGAAAGAGAGAGAAACATGGATGTGAGAGAGAAACATCGATTGGTTGCCTCCCATATGCACCCCAACCGGGGATCGAACCCACAATCTGCGTATGTGCCCTGACCAAGAACTGAACCAGTTACCTTTCAGTGCGTGGGACGATGCCTAACCAACTGAGCCACACCGGCCAGGCCTGATTTTTAACTTTTTAATTATTGTAGCTATGCAAAGTAGCCCTGTACAACAAATGTTTTCTCTGAAAGTATTTCATTTTCACAATTATTCAGGCAAGAAACTTAGGAGTTACCTGCCCCTTCTCCCTCACTGTCCACTTCCAACTGGACAGTCCCCTCTCCAACAGCAGGAGATTCTTCTGTACTCTGCACCCAGGGCCGTGGCCCTAACTTAGGCTGCACTCCCTGCGTCAGAGGCTGTGGTGGAGCTTCTGCACTGGTCTCCTTACTTCTGGTTCCCATCCTGCTCACCCCCTTAGTGTTGCCTTCCTGAAATACAGATCTCCTCTGCCACTCTCATGCCTGGAACCTTTAATGGGTCCCTAGAAACAGAAAGTCTGAATCCTGAGTTGGTATTAATAGAATATGACTATTTGTCCAGGGTCATCTCTCACAATATTGACACCACACACACACACATACACACACACACATACACACACCCCCCAAGGTCCAAACTGACTGAGGTACCTCATTCCCTGACCTCTGTTTTTTCAAGCTCCATGGGCTTAAACGACGTCCCTTGTACTTTCTGTCATTTTTTAGAGCTGTTTGTGCTGAATCTGCCTGTGTCTCTCATGAAGGATTATCAACAGCTAAGCTCCTAGACAAAGAGCCTGGGTATTGTAAGCCTTGACTTTGCTCACCATACACAGGGTGTCCCCCCAAAATGTAGAGACACATTTTAACAGCTGGTAGCTCAATTTTGAAAAGAAAATGTATTTTAATAAACACTACATTTATAATTATTCAAAGTGTACATATACATTTTGGGGGGACACCCTATATTTGTTGAATTCAATCTATAGTTTCATAGATTTTATACTAAAACTCCTGTTTTTCTACCAGTAAATAGT